GGTTAGGCATCTCACTTGCTCAAGTACGACTCGATGCTCGGGACATTCAAGGCCGAAGTGAAAATAGTCGACAACGAGACCATAAGTGTCGATGGCATGCCCATCAAGGTCGTTTCTAGCCGGGATCCCCTCAAGCTTCCGTGGGCCGAGCTAGGAATCGACATTGTCATTGAGGTACGTTTAACAAAAATAGAAAGGCAAAAGAAAAAAAAAAGAAAGGTAATTGATTGATATTTGATAATGAAGATTAATGCAGGGGACTGGTGTGTTTGTGGATGGGCCGGGAGCTGGGAAGCACATTCAAGCCGGGGCTAAAAAGGTAATTATTACAGCCCCGGCAAAAGGTGCAGATATCCCGACATATGTTGTGGGTGTCAACGAGAAGGACTACTCTCACGAGGTCGCTAACATCATAAGGTCTGTTGAAAAAATGTATTGTTTTGATAGTTTTTTTTTTCTTTCTTTGTTTCTTTAGGATAAATGTTTGTTAGGTTAATCTTGACATGGTTGTGTTTGAATTACGACAGCAATGCTTCTTGCACGACCAACTGTTTGGCTCCGTTCGTCAAGGTCATGGACGAGGAATTTGGTAAGAAAATGTTCTATGTAACAGTATGATGAATTGAATAGATGTTTAGAAACACTCAAAACTTAACTCGTGATTCCCCTTGTTTACAGGTATTGTCAAAGGAACAATGACTACAACTCACTCATACACCGGTGATCAGGTAAATAAAAAATAAAAATCCGTAAAACATCAAACGGCCTCCAAGAAAAAGGCTTTAAAAGAATCAAAAAAAAAAAGTGAAATAAATAAACGCGAATTGCTTGCAGAGGCTTCTAGATGCTTCCCACAGGGACCTTAGACGGGCTCGGGCCGCGGCCCTAAACATCGTGCCCACGAGCACTGGTGCAGCTAAGGCCGTGTCACTCGTCCTTCCGCAGCTCAAGGGAAAGCTCAACGGTATTGCCCTTCGTGTCCCCACTCCAAATGTCTCGGTGGTTGACCTCGTTGTGAATGTCGAGAAGAAAGGGATAACGGCTGAAGATGTAAATGCGGCCTTCCGGAAGGCGGCTGAAGGCCCGTTAGCCGGTGTGCTGGACGTGTGTGATGTGCCACTTGTCTCGGTTGACTTTAGGTGCTCGGATGTCTCGTCAACCATTGACTCATCGTTGACTATGGTGATGGGGGATGATATGGTCAAGGTTGTGGCTTGGTATGACAATGAGTGGGGATATAGGTAAATATATGCATATATCGTTGACTCATCGTTCTCTTTGAATTGCGTTTTTTATTTTCGTCCCGTATGTTTGCAAAAAGTTACCAAAAGATCATTTTCAACAAAAAGATCCATCCTTTATGTTTTGAAAAAAAAAAGTTTACATTTCGTCCCTTATGTATGAAAAAGATCTAACATTTTTGCAAGGGACGAAAATAAAAAAACGCAATTCGAAGAGGACGAAAAAGTTAAGGTAGTGAAATATACAAGACTAAAATTACAATTTACTCTATTTTTTTTTAGTAGCTACCTTTTCTTACAAGAAACTAAGCTAAGGTTGGATGAACTACTAAGAGAAGATAAGATAAAAGTTTGAAAGTTGTACAAAACAGGTCTGGTTTGGTTCTGTCTTGAATTTTGATGGGTTAATCTGTAATATATTGTAAGTTTGAAGCTACACTTTGTTTAGAACCTCCAAATTAGAGGGGTGGTTTTTAAAAACTACATTTATGTGAGTGTGCCTAAAGAATGTTACTTTTCTTTACAAAATCATATTTTTTTTTTTATTATTTTTTGTTTTTCTGTGTTTTGTAGCCAAAGGGTTGTTGATTTGGCTCATCTAATGGCGGACAAGTGGCCGGGGGGTAAAGTGAAGGGGAGTGGAGATCCATTGGAGGATTTCTGCGAGACGAGCCCTGCAGATAAGGAGTGCAAGGTTTATGAAGCTTGATCTTTTTCTTTATTACTTATTTTTGGATTTTTGTCAAGATCTTTTATGAGCTAAAGAAAGGATTTCGACTTTCTACCTCGAATTTCTTGTTCTTTTCTACGATAAGGATAGACGGATGCAGAAAGACGCGTGTATTAATAAAAATGTTGAACCAATATTTGTTATAATTGTTGCTTTTCTCTAGAGTTCGGACTGAAAGAATGAACTTTGTGCAATAATATTCACTTATAGATGTTCTCTTCTTTTTTTCTTTTTTTTTCTTCTGTTTTGGTTTGCGTTGTTTGTGATTATTATGATTGTTTAAAGAATTTTCATAAACTAGTCACCGCAAGTTGTAATTTTTGCAACTTGTTAGGCTGATTTATGCACAAGTAATTCATCTATGTTCCTCCCCATCAGAAAGTCATTATGAAGTATGTATATAATTCTGCACTTGTTATGAGTTTGTGCAGCATATTGGATAAATGGTGGCTGGTTAGTGGTTACTAAAACTGCCCCTAAGGTTAGATTGATGACAGATATATCCTGTTCTCCCTTTTGTTCAGACAGCAGCACTTTTCTTCATGCAAACAACATTTTCATGACCTGACCTTTTTGGTATAGATAAGAGTAATACTCATTCCTAAAAATTCTGGAAAACTGGATTTTTTTGGCATTGCGATGTTTGATAAAACTAGTTATTAAGTTAATTGATAGTTAGATAAGCTAATTGATATAGCCATACTTGGATAAAACCGAATACAACAACTCGACCGGGTCTTGAGTCGAGCCTTCTGCAGTACGACCTAAAAGATAGCGATTCGAGGACAACAAGTCGTACTCATAAAAGTAGCTCGTGGGAAGTCTAATCTCAAGACTTGACAACTCCCCTCACCATAAGGAGCATCTCGAGGTCGATCTCAACCCTTTTGTAACTCGAGGTCGACCTTAATTGTCTATATCTCAAGATCGACTTCCTCTACCATCATGATGGCTCTTAATCGACAACCGTATCTCAAAGACAACCTCGTTAACTACATAACTCGAAGTCGACCTCTTAATCGTAGCTCGAGTCGACTTACCGCCTTTAGAATACAAGAACAACTCAAGGGCGAGTGAAAGAACCTATTGGTGTATTTCATCTATACGCTAACTCCAAGTCGACCTCTCGTTGCTTGAGGTCGACTCCATATATCTCGCGGCTAACGGATCAGGAGGAATCTTTAAAGGATAAGATGGAATCTTAAGCTGGCTCAAGTCTGACTAAAAGATGAATAGGATACAAATAAACTGGGCAAACTAAGCCGGTCGACTCGGGGCATTTTGGGCAGGTATTTTCCTCTATAAAAGGGGCTAAGGTAACAGCAAACCCTAACTTGTTACATTCTCTACACATTTTTATATATTGCTGCTCTCTGGGCAGAGCACTTTCACCTCTCCCTGATACTGACATAATCGGAGGCTCTACGCCGGAAATCTCTCTGGCGTTGAGTTCTTGGAGATGTTCGTGGCGATCTAGAGGCGGTTCAGATAGATCGGAGCTCATCTCAATCGGTTTACTCCAGATCTAGAAGGAGACCTATCACTAACTTAATTTTCGAGCTTATAGCTTATAGCTTGTGACTTATAGCTGAAAAACTAGCTTATATGATAAAAGTGTTTGGTAAAATTAGCTGATAAGCTGGTGTAGATTAGTATCTAGTATTATTATTATTATTATTATTATTATTATTATTATTATTATTATTATTATTATTATTTAATAGGTGTCTTAGAGAATAAGTTAGGAATTTAATATTATTGTTTAATATTTAGTGAGAGATATTGTCTTGTTGGACAAGTTAAGGTCTAGGGTTTGGAGCCTTATATAAAGGACTCCCTCTAGTTTATTTTCCTTGGTTGATTATTGAATGAAATATGAACTGATTGTGAGTTTTATTGAGAGAGTATCTCATTTATCCTTCTCACTCGTACGCTTCCCTACATCAGTTGGTATCAGCAGTCAGTACGATTCACGATGCCGCCGGGACGACAAGATGCCGCAAACGAATGACGTGACGCAACCTTCAACGATCGGTTTCAACAGATCGACTACCGATTTCAACAATTGGACGTGCGTTTCACGGATTGGTTTGCCGATCTTTCGACGGGGATCGAGGATTTGCGTTTGACGCTTAACAGCGTGGTCTGGGATTTGCAGATGAACCGTGTTGCCAGCGACCGGGGTGTACGCGGGGGAGTTCAAGGAGGAAGTGGAGATCGTGGTCCAGGCGGGGCGCCCCGTTGGCGATCTCCACAATCGCCGTCCGGCGATGCAGATGGCGAGGAGACCATATCGGAGGTGGATCCTTTCGGAGAGCGGCGGCCTCTGCCCGTCGAGACTGAGCTCGTTGCTGCACACGACGACCAAGATGTGCAGCAACAGAGTGTGATTTTTTAGGACGATGATGGGCCATTGTACGACGGTCCGCCTGTTTTTCGATGAGGAGCCTCCAGTGACGGAGAGATATCTTTGCGACAATATGGATCCCGCGTGGGACGTCGCAGAAGTTGAGCCTTTGATGGAGATGACGTCGTTCAAACTCGATTTTTGGAGTATCTTGGCCAACGATGGTTTTTAGGAGCCAAAGCCGAGGCTCAATAACTGGTGGGCTATTTTTCGATTATCTATCCCGAAGTCTCTCACGAACGGGATGCTTGGCCGTAGTTATGGATTTGAGTGCAGTGAACGATGTGGTATGTTTGGTTTAATTCCGCTACGATGCATATGGCGGCGTGTACATGTGCCTTTTCAGTAGTTCAATCCTTGCCCATGATTACGTTTACTATCGGGATTGTTGGACGACATTCATCCTTCGTGTTCGATCGAGGGAAACGACGGGGGTTTCCTACCATGAGTTTGACACCACACGCCAGCCACGGAGCGCATTGGCTTCGAGGGTGAAGCCTTCTGAACCGAGGAAGAATGGTGTAGATTAGTATCTATTATTATTATTATTATTATTATTATTATTATTATTATTATTATTATTATTATTATTATTATTTAATAGGTGTCTTAGAGAATAAGTTAGGAATTTAATATTATTGTTTAATATTTAGTAAGAGATCTTGACAATTTTTGTCTAGGGTTTGGAGCTTTATATAAAGGACTCCCTCTAGTTTATTTTCCTTTATTGATTATTGAATGAAATATGAATTGATTGTGAGTTTTATCGAGAGAGTATCTCGTTTATCCTGCTCACTCGTACGCTTCCTACATCATAAGCTAGCTGAAATAAAAATTTCAACTAGCTTATTTGAAAAGCTGCCCAAAGAAGCTTATGAGATAAACTCGAGCTTTTAAAAAGTCTGTCCCACCAAACGATAATTATTTAATACAGAAAGCTTATAAGCTAACCAAATAAGCTATAAACTAACTTATTTGTCTACCAAATACCGCGCAAGAATAAAACATCAATGTTGGTTTATGTAGTTATTCATCTTTGAAATTTGATCATACAAAATAAAATTAGTTTATATTCACTATTGGTGATTCAAGATATAATACTACAAAATAAAAGGTTTTCTAATCTAATATTGGAGTAGATCACTACTAGATCTACACTGTTTACCACTGTAAAATTGTAGAGACATTTGCTTCATTGCAATTTAATATCTATTTTTAGTTTGGGCATTACTATTTACCGCTCCCCCTATTGCTAGTCACCGCTCCCTTGGACAATTTTGCCCTTTTCATTTTTTTTCAAACATCTCAGAGCAAAAGTGTACGGCGAAATGTCTTCAAATTCCGAGGTACGATTTTTCACCGTCCGGCCGACGAAACCGGATGGCTTTTAGGCCGTCCGACTGCCGAAACCGGATGGTTCGGACGGCAAAAAAGCCGTTCGGTTTCTCCGGCCGGTCGGACGGGCTTTGTCCGAACCGGCCAACCGGACGGTCTAAAAGACGTCCGGTGGCGACGACCGGACAAATTTTTTTATATATATATATATATATATTATTTTTTTTTCCCAAAACGATAGAGGAACTATTATAAATCAAAAGCGCACAACGTGCGAAAAGGATACAAAGCTCCCAATGGGAGAAAAAAGTGGGAGGACAGGTCAAAAGACCGCCTAGAATCCCGCTAGCAACGCTAGAATAAAAAACTCACAACAAAACTAACCAGCAACACCAACAACTACAACAAACTAAACAACTAAAACAACTAAAACAACTACCCGAGTGTCGGACCCCAATAGAGTAATACCCAAGTGTCTGACCCCAGCAGGGTAATAAGGTGACACTCGGGCATAACAATTGACACTCGGGCTCACTGGGTCAACGACCCAAACCAAAAGTACAAGGCACTCGCACCGAACTCCCACTGGGAGAATGCCTAAGAGATGGCTCCCAACAGGAGAATAGCGGGACACACTGCAAACCGGGGCCAACGGCCCAAACCTAAATCACGAAACAGAAAAGAGAACCACACAACCTAAACAAAAAACACTAAAAAAAAAAAATCTAAACCAAACAACAACTAAAAGGCATCCCTCCCTCAGCAGAGACTTCCAAGAAGGCCATCGAACTAAGCCAGCTACTGGAGAATTCAAAGCAGCGGAACCCCGCTCACCACTGCCGAAGGCCTAGCGAACCCGGAGACCGAAACCCCAAATTACTCCCAATAGTCGACCCTCACTCCAACCGCAGAAACCACTTCATCCCCAACTCGGCAAACACCTCAAGCCAAGAACCAAGCCGACCCGAAATCGCCGAAACCCCAGCTCATTCGGAAGCCGGCTAGAACCCAAAACTCAAAACAAAGAGCCGTGAGAGAGGAATTGAAGGATCCAAGTCCAGCCGCCCCACCCAGCCTGATGGACAGAGCCAAACCCGCCGGAATAAAACAAGGCACCCGCCGACCACAACCAAAAGAAAATCGAGACAAATTGGCATCCGAAGAAGGCAGCCAACACAACTCACCTCTTACAGTCACCAAAACTCCGGCGGAACAGAACCGTATCAATCGACGGCGAGATAGCCACAAGGACCAATCGAGCGTACCTTGAATCCAGCTTGAAACACCGAGCCCATCAGTCCGACCACGGCGACCCGACCTCACCCCCTCTCCAGCCACCGTCTTTCGTCCAGCCCACTCTCGTCGAAGCACCCGAAGGAAGGGCGCAGAAAGGGGATCTGCAAACCCTAGGCGCATCTTTCGGCGGAGTGCTGAAGTGGAGAGACGAGGCCAAATCGAGGGTGAGCGGCGAAGCACGTTCTCCGGCT